TTCATCCATATTACAAAAAAAATTTTTTAAAGAACAATTAATAATGAACTTTGTTTTGTTTTGTTTTTGAGATAGATTTTCCTTATGTAGTTTATTACTGAACTCACAATAATCCTCCTGCCTCAGCCTTCTGAGTGCTAGGACTATAAGAATGCATCACTATGCCCAACTGAACAAGAATTTGGCAGTCCAGCCAGGGATTTAGCTCAGTGGCATAAGCAGCTGCCTGGCAAGCATAAGGTTGTGAGTTCAACCCCAGTACCAAAAAAATAAATAAAGCAAAGAATTTGGCAGTCCAAAACAGTTCTTATTCTGAAAAATTCAAAGGGGCTGGGGATTTAGCTCGGCGGCATAAGTGCCTGCCTTGGAAGCAGGCAGTTGTGAGTTCGATCCCTGGTACCGATAAAAAGGAAAAAGACAAAAAGACAAAAAAAAAATTCAAAAACACTTCATCTAAGTGAAGGAAAGGGCATTAATAGATAGAAAAGAATGATTAAGAATGGGGAAAAAGGACAAAAAGTCGGCACAGAAGTGTAAGTCTTGTGATACGTCACTAATTGTAAACTAATACAAAAGAAGTTACAGTTTTATGTCATTTTAATCTTCCAGTAAATCACTGGTTTTCATAAATGATAGTTTTTGCAAAAGAAAAATGAATGAGATCAGCTTCAATGCCAACAACAGATTCCTTTTTTTTTTTTTTTGTCTTTTTCGTTTTTTATTGGTACCAGGGACACAAACTCAGGACTGCCTTCTTGCAAGGCAGGCACTTATGCCGCTGAGCTAAATCCCCAGCCCCTGTGAATGTTCTTAATGCCACCAAGTTGTACACTTCAAAATGGTGAAAGTGCCAGGCATGGCAGCAAATGCCTGTGATCCCAGGGTTATGGCAAACAGAAACACTGACATGACATCCAGGATTTGGAGGCAGATTTGTGTTGATGGGCACTGAGTGGGATCATTTCTAAAATATCAGGCACGGATCTCTGGTGGTCTAGGGCTTATATATCAAGTAGTAAGTACAGAGGCAGAATGACTTGTCAAATGGGGATTGCTTCTTAGAATATGCATCATAGTGACCAGGTTTTTCTAAAAAACCAAAGTAACAGGAACTGTAACCAGGACTATTACTTGGGCAAAGAGAGGGGGAGGCTTCTCTTAGTAACTAGACCCAACTATTTGTACTGGTAGGCCAATGGGTGTTCCCAGAGGCTGACAGTCTGAGTAAGCATCATTGTTCTTTTGTGAACTCAAGGATGCAGATTCCATAGAAGCCAGCAGCTCCAAAAAATTTGCATTATTTCTTTCTTATAACAAGTTTCTGCCAGACATTGCAGCAGAGCTTATGTGTCTTTCCAGCAGGGAGCTTGGGTGTCATTAATCAGAAGTGTAGCGATATTTTGTGCTGGTAAACTAGTGAGGTCAGCTGTGGGCGCATCTCCGAAGAAGGTAAACAAGTTTTTTAATTTCTGAGAGGTTGAGTCCAAGTCAGTTGACTTTTGGGTCAAGAACTGGGATCTTTTCGTTTAAAGATGAAGAGGAGTGGCTGACAGGAGCCAATCAAAGGCAGACAGATGCAAAGTGTACCAGCAGGCTGTGGTTGGCAGAAGACTGATGGAATAGGAGGCACTGGCAGCTCAGAGATCTTGAACTGACTTTAGAGGCAGAAGTGCGTTTTAACAGTTTGACAATCTATAGACCTTTTGTAGTTTTGAAACCTTATTTTTTCCTTTCTGGGTACTGTGATGGAACTGGAAGGGACAGAGAAACAGGCTGTCGTAGAGCCAAATCTGTTTCTAGGACTTCCCCCAAAATAGTGCGAAAGTTCCCAAACCCTTACAGCAATTGAGTAACAGTCTAAAAAGGGTGAATGGATTGGGAACTACAGAACGTAAGGTGACAGCTGTGTTGCTGATGGCAGAGAGATCTTGCCCAAGGTGATTAACAGTCTATCAGGTTGACGCATGGATGGATGCCTGTTTGTGTTTCCCATGACATCTGGCAGCAAAAGGGGTAGTGGTGAGGTGGCACGGTTGAAGGTTCATACCTGTGGAAGGAGAATTTTCAGGATTTCAGGATTATGGTTATCTATCTCAGGCTGATGTAGGTTTCATCTTCCTCTCAGGAAACAGAGTTGAAAGTTCAGGGTTAAGTAAGACTGGCTTAGTGCAAAGGAGGCAGTCATTTTTTTAAACTTTTTATTGGTACCAGGGGTCGAACTCACAACCACCTGCTTGCAAGGCAGGCGCTTATGCCACTGAGCTAAATCCCCAGCCCCAAGGCAGTTGCTTCTAATTTGAAGAGGAGGTCTCTTCCCAAAAGTGGTATAGGAACTGATTTATACAGGAATTCATGTCTGGTGAGATGTCCTCCCAGGCTACAAGTTTATGCCTAGCAGAAGAGGGAAGAGGCAAGAATCCCAGTTTTGGGGCTGGGGATTTAGCTCAGCGGCATAAGCACCTGCCTTGCAGGTGGTCATGAGTTCGATCCCCGGTATCGATAAAAATGAAAAAGACAAAAAAAAAAAAAGAATCCCAGTTTCCCCAGTGATGGTAATTTCTTGACATAGTGAACTTATAAAGACAGAGTGTTCTGTTCCATTGTCTACCAGGAAAGTCACAGGTTTGCCCCCGACTTTTGCAGTGACCACAGCTCTTGTGAGCCCAACTTGATAGAGCATCCTATCCATTCAGCCCTGACAGGATGAGGAGAGGTTTAGGCTGAGGTAAGCCTGGATAGTCAGGCTTTTTGTGTCTCACAGATGGAGCAGGAGCCAAAAGGTAGGGGCATCTACCAGACTGGATTTTCTTATGAGTATTAGATACTTTTATCAGATTTCTGGGTAGCAGTGGGTGATGGGTTTTTTGCCCCCCTCTTTGATGTCTTTGAGAAGCACTTGACTGATTTTAGGTTTCTAGGTGCAAGACCTTTGGGAAATGACATGGCAACTCATTCAACAGGGCTGACAGTCCAATTTTTCCTCAGTCAAAATGTGGAACTCAGAAGGAATTGCTGACAGTCTTGTCAGGTGGGTGTTAGATGATGCCATCTGACCAGGATGGAGAAGCAGAAGGCTCTGGAGGGAAGACCTCTGTGGTCGAATGTGGGCAATAGTTACCTGAAACCTGTTCAACTGTCTGGAAGTCGACAAGCTGGGAGCAGAGAGTGAAGCTATAGGTGTTGGCAGCAACTGCAGTGGCCAATGAGGTTCCAAGGTAGAATTCTCAGGAAGAATGGGCCTGTTTCCCTTTTTTTCTTTGAGATGCAGCGAGTGGTTTGGCGTTAAGTACTCAAGACTGTACTGGTGATGCCTTTCCCAAAGCTGCTGGATCCAAGTGTGGTGGCACATGCCTGTAATCCTAATATTTGGGAGGCTGAGGCAGGAAAATAGCCTGGACCACAAAGTGAGTTCAAGTCCAGCCTGAACTGCATAGTGAAGCTCTGTCTCAAAAAATAAATAAAAAAAAATAAAATAATAACAAAGCTACTGGATTCCAGATGAATGTGGCACATGCACTTGTCATCCCAATATGCTTAGGATTCTGGATCCTAGGTTTCAGTCAGTTCAACTGGCATCATAGTTCTATTCTGTAGAAATTAAAGATGTTAACTAAAGGGGTTTTTTTTTCTACAGAAGCTTGCTATGCAGTTCAGCTTAGCATTAAACTCACAGTGTAATCCAGAACTTGCTGGAATTCTCCAGCTGGGAGTCACAAGGAGCAGTCCTCAAATCAGAGAGCCCCTTTCACAGACAGCATGTGCGCAAGTGACCTGCCCCGTCCGAAGAGAAAAGCATATTGGAGCCATGGAGTCAGTTTTCAAAGAAATGAATAAATGGTCACTGCAAGAATAAATTTGTGCGCTTTCAGGACTTGCTAGGGAGCTAAGCCACACAGCCCATTTGAGTAGGTCACTACTTAAAGGATTCTTCATTGCTTATGCCTGTTCAGGCTGACCTTGAACTATGTAACCCAGGATGGCCTTGAACTCACAGTAATCCTCCTGCCTCAGCCTCCCAAGTGCTGAGTCCCTATCTTTTCTGCTTGCCTTTTCTGTTTATCTGTAAGCTGACTTTAGTGAAGTCCTACCCGACTATGCACAAGGCCTAAGACGTGGCCGCTAAAGGATCTTATGCTCTCATGCAGTCACCTGGCCCAAACAGGGTGGAAGGCATTATATATATATATATGTTTGTATACATATATATGTATATATATAATGATCTAATTTTATTTATGTATTTATTTTTGTGGGTATGAGGAATCAAACTCAGGATCTTGGGCTTGCCACTCCTGGGCCCCCTTCATGGGCTTTTGAATAGGTTGGGAGGACAGATATTTGAGTCAGAACTGAACTGACTCCTGTGTGGTCTGCAGTAAGCAACTGACCCTTTCCAGGTGCTAAGGATTTGTCCAAGGTCTCATGCTTGCAGCTGCAACTCCACTCTTACCCTTGTCTTGAGGGGCACTTTTTTTTTGTCTTTTTGAGACAGAGTTTCACTACACAGTTCAGGATGGCTAGAACTCACTTTGTACCCCAGGCTGGCCTCGCACTGCTAGAGATCTTCCTTACCTCAGACCTCAACCTCGCTAGTGGTGATTACAGGCATGCGCCGCCACACCATCATAGGAGAGCTTCTCGTCTCCGAAATGGAGCAAATTTCTGGTTTCCCTACTTAAGAAGCTAGATAATGCGTTAGGGCGCAACCAGCCCAGTAGAAAGTCTCCTCTTCTATTAAATCCTGAGACTGCGGGTGGCCAACTCCCCAAATACGCTTCACAGGTCTGGGGACAGGTAGCAAAACTGCAAGTGATCGCCCACCCTTGCTGGTGGCCTTTCGGCTTCGGGGCGTGGCCACGAGGGGTGGCTCAGTAGACATTGGTTGGAAGGCGGGACCGCGGCGCACGCACGAAAAGAGAGGCAATTTGGGGGCGTGGCGATGTGGGCCGCAGATGGCTGCTATTGGTCCGAGGTCTTGTCGGGGTGTATCCGCGGGCGGTGCTTCGCGGGTGGGGCTGCCGGCTTCGGGAGACGCGGGTTCTCAGCCTGCACCTGAGAGTCAACACTCTGGTCCTTCAGGCTGCTCCCAGTCGGTCCCCGCCGCCATGAACCGCTTCAAAGTGTCCAAGTTCCGGCACACGGTGGTCCGACCATCTCGCCGTGAGGTGAGCCCGACCCGCCGGCCCTGCGCTCTTGCCGCGGCTGGCGCCCTCCCCCTGTTTAAGCCCCGCAGGAGACGCTTGGGGACGCCGAACCCGCGCCTTCCGAGCCATGCTTCCTTGGCGCGCCCCTTCAGGCTGCGGACCCTGCGTCCTGGCCGCTCCGTTGCTGCGGGGAGTGCAGAGTCCAGCGCTTGGTGGACTCGACCTACACAGCTGGCTGATCTTGGCTGTCTGTCAGGCCCGCCCGGCTCGCCCCGGGACCCCACAGGCGGCGCTGCCCTACGGGCCGGGGCCAGGCCTCAGGCCTGCGAGAATGCATGCTTGCATTCCTGGCTTCCGGTCGGCTCGCTGGTGAGCTGGGGCAGGGACGCTGCTAGTCCCCGGCTCCTGGTCCCTGTTGTCCCGAGTCTTCTCTGCCTCGAGGCGGGCTGGGGGAGAGATGCAGCTCTTCCCCCTGGCCACCGAGCCAGCGTGTGGGAGCCCCTCCCTCGGATTTCCGCCGGCGCTTCCTCCTCTCGCTGCTGGCGCAAGCTCTTTTACTGGGGTAAATGCTGCCTGCGGCTGGGTGTGGTCAGAGAAAGACCTGAGGCAGGTGCTGGGAGCACCACGGAGCCCCAGAATGGCAGCTTGATGAAGGGTGGACTTCAGAGATGGTGCCACCCGCTATGTTACTTGAAAGGCCTGGGAGTGTCCTCGGATAATTGGCCTGTGAATTGACCTCTGGTGACCCCATCAACGGTCTTAAGCAAGTCAAGGCAGCTGACTTGGAGCAGATGCTCGATTTTTTTCTTTTGGACAGTATTTCCTCTGTATCACCTATGTGTTGTGCCCAACTGCTGGAGCCACCACTGTCAGCGTAATAGTATTATCTTTCAATTGTGGCTTTTATAACCTCAATGAGGAAGACAGCCAGAAAAGAGAAAGACATACAGGGCCTTGTAAGTTTTAATAAGTGCACTGAAGAACACACATGAAGGATTGGAATGGAAAATGGGAAAGTGAGAGTTTATCTCAGTAGGGTGGGGGGAGCAGGTTGCCTGAAGGAAGTGACATTTCAGCCAAGTAAGACCCAAACGATGAGAAGTGGGAAAGCCTGGTGTGGGAATGGAAATTGGGCCAGGGTAGATGGAAAGTATTGACCAGAAAAGTGTGGAAACAGATGAGACCAGAACAGTCCTGCAGAGCCTGAGGGCCATGGGAATAAGTTTGGTTTTGAGCGCAGTGGAGAGCCATGCAAAGGCTGAGGGAGGTGTTTAGTGTTTAGATTTTCAGTAAGACCATACTTCTGGGTGCAGTAAGTACTGTATTGATGGAGGGTCCTGGAGAGTATTTGAGGGACCTCATGCTTTCTCCTGGGTGGGCCTCAGTCCAGCAAGATAAACAGACAGGATGGAACCAGAGATTGCAGGGGAACCTAAAGCAGTACATGTTAGGAAGATGGGAGAACAGACAGGCTGTTCTCCATCTCCATTTCAAAAACATTGTGTGTCATTGTGTTTGTACTGTTAACACTAATCAGGAAGGAAAATAATGTAAAGCACTGATGTTCTACCACTGACAAGTGAACACTGAAGTAGGAGATTGAAGTGGTGATGTTGTGGATGGGTGGACTAGGAAGTGTGGGTGCTCTGTCATTAGAGGCAGGAAGAAGTGGAGTGCGGTGGTTTGACACGAACAGGAAGCATAAAGACCTGGTTGATCTGTTTCAGAAATAGTACTCTTCTGCCTCCCTTCATGTGGGGGTGTTGGCATCGACACATTTTCGTGGGGGTGCAGCGTTTCGGCATCTAGGACACTTGGTGGAAGGGCACGTTCTGATAAGGCCAGGCCTTGATTTCCCTCCTGAGTATAGGCGTTTTTCTCTTGATAGAAGAGCCCCTGGGCTCTTGTGAAGCTCTCAGCTGTGCAGTTGGGAAAGCTGAGCCTGTCTTCTGTTTAGGTACTTATTTCTCCTCCCAACCCTCCTCTCCTTTTAATAGTAACAAGCCTTTGCCCCACTTCCTTCTGACAGCTCCTCCCCCTGTTTAAGAAACTGAGCAATATTAATATTACCCTCTTAGTGACATAGGTTTTTTTTCCTTTTTTTTTTCCCTCTTCCTGTGATACTGGGGATTGAAACCAGAACCTTAATACTGAGCCCTTTTTAATTTTTCTTTTTTTTTTTTTTTTTTTTGGTACAGGGATTGAACATATGACCTCGCACTTGCTAGGCAGGCACTGATGTCACTAAGCTAAATCCCTGGCCCTTTTTTAATTTTCTGTTTTGAGACAAGACCTTGCTAAGTTGCTGAGGCTGGACTCAAACTTATGATCTTAATTTTGTTTCTCAGAGTATTGGAATACAGGTATCCACCATCATACCCATTTCAGACTCAGGTTATTTCAAGAACATTTCGTATTTTCTAAGGGACTTTATCAGATGGAATAGGATTTGATTCAAAGATGCATCTCTATTGGTACAGTTTAAAGGTACAGTTTCCTGAATTATGCCTCCACCTTGTCCCCTTTTCAACATGTGCAGAAACCTGGCTCTCACCACACCACACATGTCTTATTCTTTATTTCAGGCCTGGATCAATGACATTCGTGCAGGAACTACTCCCTCCTGTGGGAATCATATCAAATCAAGCTGTAGCTTGATTGCCTTCAATTCTGACCGTCCAGGTAGGGGAGTGGACATGGGCAAGGAGAGAGGGCAGGCTTTGTGTAGACTGGAGAGTTAGCAGTGGTTTGGAGTAGGAGGTCCATAGGTTAGAAGGGCTTAGACCTCTACAAACTGGTTAACATGCAGTAATCAGGGCCTGGAATTTAGCTCAGTGGCACAATGCCTTCCTGGAAAGTATGAAGTCTTGAGTTTGATTCCTAATATCAAAATAAACAAACAAAACAAAAAAAAACCATGCAGTAATCAGATCAATTTTTGCTTGAAGATAAACTATATAGTAAGTCCTGGGCTTAGAAACATTCAAGTTGCAAACTTTCACAGATACAAATGGACCTCACATTTCACAGATACAAAGTCGAACTCACGACTGCCTGCTTGCAAGGCAGGTGCTTATGACGCTGAGCTAAATCCCCAGCCCCTACATTTGTAAATGTGAACAAATCACAGAAATAGCTCACATGTCTGCTAGACATTGTCACAGTTGTACTGCTGTGTGCTTAGTGTGCAATGTTCAGTCAGAGCCAGAGTGTCCAAAGCAGAGAAAAAACAGTGGTAAAGTGGAGAGGACTGCTAGGAAGCACAAAGCAGTAATTTCTTTTTTTTTTTTTGTCTTTTTCGTTTTTTTATCGGTACCAGGGATCGAACTCACGACTGCCTGCTTGCAAAGCAGGCGCTTATGCCGCTGAGCTAAATCCCCAGCCCAAAGCAGTAATTTCATGACTCATTTTGTTGCTGCAGGTCGTGGCACACACCTCTAATCCTAGTACTTGGGAGGCTGAGGCAGGAGTATTGCTGAAATTTGAGGCCACCCTGGGCTATAGAGTGAGTCCAGGCCAACCTGAACAACAGGGATACCCTGTCTCCAAACAAAACCAAATAAAACTCACTTTGTTGGACTTAGAAATGAATCCGATTTACAAATATTCTCCCAGAATGTTCCCATGGATTTACTGTAATAGTTATTGCTTCAAGAGCATGCCCAAATAAGGGCAGAGAGGGGGCTGATAGTGATATTTCCAGCCATCTCCACTGGTTATGTCTGTGGAGCCCAACATACTTGAAATCATTAAGAATGCAAAGATTTGAAAAGTCTTTCTATTATTTGGGTCTCTCTTGGCTACTGGTGATAATGTAGACCTTAAATGAACTTGAGCAAAAAATAAATACCTTTTCACTTTGCTTAAGAAGTCAGGGAACAGGGGCTGGGGATTTAGCTCAATGGCATAAGAACCTGCCTTATAAGCAGGCGGTTGTGAGTTCGATCCCTGGTACCAATAAAAATGAAAAAGACAAAAAAAAAAAAAAAGTCAGGGAACAAGGCAGGTGATATAGCTTCATAGTAGGACCTACAGCGTGAGAAAAATGCAACCTTTTCCCCAGTGTATAGCCATTGTATGGATAGTTCATGGGTTGGAAGAACATATTCTGGACTATTTGCTGTGTTGAGGGGTGTGATTTTGTGATTAGTGGACCCTCTTAGGATGTCCTAGGTGGAGCTTTCAGATACTTTCTCTTATGGGAACCCTTAGCAGAGATCCCTGCTGAGCCCGAAGTCAGAGCCGCTGTGTTTGTTTAACAGGTGTGTTGGGCATTGTGCCTCTGGAAAGCCAAGGAGAGGACAAGAGACAGGTGGCCTACCTGGGATGCCATTCAGGTGAGTGAGTGCCTGGAACTTGACCCCAGGGTTAGAGATATACAGCTTATCCTATAGCCCACGCCTTATTATTCTGAGTACTCTATGAGGTGGTTGTGTTCCGAAGGCTACATCTGATTTAGAATTTGGGCCTAGGGCCGGGGATTTAGTTCAGTGGCATAAACACCTGCCTGGCAAGCACAAGATCATGAGTTTGATCCCTGGTACCTAAAATAAAATAAAAATAACATCTGGAAATAGAATTTGGGCCTGAGTGGAGGGGAGGGAGACTGGATATTGCAGGTTCTCCAGCTGGGAGGGGGAGGATGTACAGTGCCAGGCTGAGGCTGTATGTTAGTGCTGAAGACTCACTTCTGCATGGCTGTTACCCTTCCTTGTTGTCCTGGAGCCCAGCAGCACCTCTTAACACTAGGCATCCTCCTCAGCCAACCCATCCAGGGTCCTCTGAAGGTGGCCATGCTGGGATGGAGGCTGGAGATGGGACTTCACAAAAGGCTTTCGTCCACTTCAGTTGCTTCTGGGAGCACACGGCTGGCCTTGTCTACACATCTAGCTGTAGTAGCTCTGGGCCCTGTGACCCACATTCTTGGCTTCCTGTTAGAAGATGTTGGAAGTAAGAAAAAGGGTCAATCGTTGTTTCTTTGACTGGGTGAGCTGCTCAGTGTAAGAATGATAATGTTGAGGATATTTAATACCTGGAGCGCTGTGTGCTATATAACATCGTTTATTTATTTGTTTATTTTTTGAGACAGGGTCTCACCATGTAGTTTAGGCTATCTTTGAACTCACTATGTAGCCTAGGCTAACCTGAAACTCACAATAATCCTCCTGCTCCAGCCTCCCAAGTGCTGAAATTAGAGGCACGTGCCTCAGGTTCAGCCTATCTGCATTTCTGCTCTAAACTTTTAGGAAAGGAACTATTGAAGCAATATGAGCATACCATAAACATTGTCCATGTATGAGAATGACAGAGTTATGTGCACCTCCATTCTGTTTCAGAACATTTCTGTCCTTCCCCAGATGATTCCATTTGGGACTGTGGTCTCAGGGAACCATTAATCTACTTTCTGCCTCACTAACAGACTTGCATATTATTGTCAGGGCCTCATCCAGCAAACTGTCATTTTTTTTACATTTTTTGTTAATCGGTCCTGGGGATCAAACTCATGACCACACACTTGCAAGGCAGGCACTTACACTGCTGAGCTAAATCCCCAGCCCCTAAACTGTTATTTTTCATGAATAGTTTTAGTGGAATAGTTGCATCTGTTCCCTGCTATATAGTCTGTGGATACTTTTTTGCAATAACTGCAAAGTGGAATGGTTGTTTCTATTTTATTTTGTTTTGTTTTATTTTAATTTTGGTGCTGGGAGTGGAACCCAGTGCCTTGTGTATGCTAAGCATATGCTTTAGCAATAAGCTGTACCCCCAGCTCAAAATTCATTAGTTGCAACAGTTGTATATAGTCCTAAAAATCCTAAAATCTATACTTACTCTGTGTTTTGTAGGAAATGTTTGCTGGTCTCTGCTTTGTCTTTTCATGTAAATTGACATTTCACATAAATGGAGTCATGCAATATAGTCCTTTTTTTTTAAAAATTTTTATTTTGAAAGTATACAACAGAACAAGTCAGAATAAAGCCAACTAAGATCGTACAGTGAAATTGGTACAGAACTTCACAGCAGGTTACCAGGATAACAGTAATAGGTATCACAGTATATTTTGTTATCTTTATAATAGTTGTTCTTTCAATCCCATATATCAAAATGAGATGAAATATAGAACACTATAGAACTTATCAAAACAGAATATTGAATAGAGCAGTACCATTAATCAGAAAATAGCAAAACAGTAATAAAAATATTTGCCTTCAAAGAAATGGTAGAAGGAAGTCCCCCTTATTTGCTATGGTCAGTCTCCCAGGAGATGCTCAGATTTCTGGTTCCCACTTGCTAATGGGCGGGGAGGAGGAGGAGAAGGAGGATAGGGGAAGTGGGATATTTGACTCTAGGCCATGTAGCAGTAGGTTCACTATTGCTAAGCAGGGAGGCAGGATGGTCATTTGTTTTCACAGCGTCCTCAGTTCCAACATGGCGTGGATCTCAGGAGACACTGCTGGTTCTCCCCCTGGAAGGGCTGCAGTCTGCCACCCTGCCTCCGCTTACCAGGGAGGGGAGGTGCTGGCTTGGCTTCCCAGAGTCCTCACTTCCAACATGGCATGGATCTCAGGAGACACTGCTAGTTCTCCCCCTGGAAGGGCTGCAGTAATATAGTCCTTTGAATCTGGCTTCTTTCACTTAACATAATATTTTAGAAGTTCATCTCTCTTGTAGTATGTATAAGAAATGGATTTTGTGATCTACTGTATTTTGTTTTGTTTTGTTTTGTTTTTTGGTACCAGGAATCAAACTTAGGGCTTCATGCTTACCAGGGAAGCACTGTGCCACTGAGCTATGTCCCCAGCTCTTCAGAGGTTTGTTTTTTTTTTTTTTTTTTTTTTTTTTGAGACAGGGTCTCTATACAGTGCAGGCTAGCTTTGAGCTCACTTTGTAGCCTAGGCTGGCTTCGAACTCGCATCAATCCTCCTGTCTCAGCCTCAACGAGTACTGGAATTACAGGTGTGAGCCACCACACCTGGCTCCTTCAGACTTTTTTGAAATGAGTTTTTTTATTTTAAGTGGATTTTATTTTATTTATTTATTTTGTGTCAAGAATCAAACTCTAGGGACTGGGGATTTAGCTCAGCGGTATAAGCACCTGCCTTGCAAGCAGGCGGCCGTGAGTTCGATCCCCAGTACCGATAAAAAAAAAAAAAAAAAAGAATCAAACTCGACCTCATGAATGCCAGGGAGGTACTTGTGATGCTGAGCTAAATCCCGGCCCCTGGTTAGATTTTCTTTCTTTTTTTTTTTTTCTTGGTACTAGGGATCGAACTTAAAACCTCATGCTTACCAGGCAAGTGCTTGAGCCACTCAGCTAAATCCCTGGCTCTTTTTTTGTTTTGTTTTTTGAGATAAAGTCTCACTATGTAGTTTAGGATGGTCTTGACCTTACTATGTAGCACAGACTGGCTTCAAACTCATGGCCATCCTCTTGCCTTAGCCTCCTGAGTGCTGAGATTATAGGCATGTGCCACCATGCCCAGCTGAAGTGGGCTTTAAAATAATCTACTCTTCAATTAAGAAAATTGAGGGTCAGAGAAGTTAGGAACCTAATTGTACATGCAGCTGCTGGCAGAAGCAGAATTAGTCACAGAATTGTGAATCTATGTTTGCTTCTTAATGCTTTTTCTCCCTAGGCGAACTGTCCCATATTGGTGATATCTGAAAGGTGGTGAGCCCCCAATCACCAGCTTTTCTAAATAGAAGCTGGGTAGATTGTAGCATCATGGTAACTGCAGTTCTTTAGTTTCTCCCTCCAGGAGCCCTGCCAAGAAGTAGTTCTTGTGAGTAAGAAACCTGCCCTTGTGGTTCCAAGTCCATTCTGCCCTCATAGGTGCTGGCAGTGGGGGAAACTGAGAAGGCTGGGCTCTGACTGCTAACCTACCTTTGAAGCCTTCCTGCCTTCAGAGGTCCCTACAGCCTCTCATCTCAGTGCCACATATGCCATCAGCCTGCTAGCCAGGGGGAACAGAGTGAGGGGGCATCTGGGGTGGTTCTGGGACATGTACTATGGGGAAAGCAGCGTAATGGCACACATTGATGAGGTTCTGACACCAGAGCACCTGGGCCTGATCCTCTGCTCTGCACTTTTGTAGCTGTGTGATTCTGACCAAGTTACCCTCCCAGCTGGGTGATGCTGAAGGACCACCTAAAGGGTCATTGTGAGGATTTGGTGAACTCAGTGCATTTAAGGACTTAGTGCAGGTGCACTCAGATTACTCATCCATTACTAAAACTTGTTCCCCTGGAAGATACCAGGCTGCCTGCACTGCCGGCTACCCCTGGGTGGGAATTTGCCCTTTCCTGCTCCAGCAGTTGGCATGGCATGCGTTCTGAGGCTCTAGGACCAGGACTCTTACCCTATTGTCTGGGAGTCAAGCTGGAGCTATCCTAAGTGGTGTCTGTCCATGTATGTCCTCTTTTTTTGTTCTCCTCTGGCCAGGAGGAAAACAGCCCTGCTTCTCCATAGGGAGGCAGGTGTCTGCTCCTCATTCTGGGGATGCCAGCCTATGCTCCTATCCGTACCCCACCCCCGCACTGCCCTCTGTACCTCATCACCACCCCATGCCACCAGCTTTTTTTCCTCTGGGCTGTAGCTCACTCTGTGTACCTTTCACATCTTTTTCCCACCAAAGAACTAAGACCACATCAGTCTTGCTTAAGTCTAAAGGAGATTTGTTGGTAGATTCCTAGGAACCTTCTAAATGAAAGGCACAGCTAGATGTGGCACCATAGGAGAGGCCCGGGCTGAAGATTTGGATCCCCACAGGTGCCTGGAACCAAAGAAGCTTCCTGATGCCAAGGCTCTGGGCCATCCATGGTCCCCAGGGCTCCTATGTATGTCACAGGATGGTGCCCTGGGGGCTCCCCCCTGTATCTTGTTCAGAGGGGTGCTGGGCTCATAAACTTTTAGCTACCTCTGTCAGAGCAGAAGGATCCCTTTTAAAGCTCTAGGCTCTGGTTTGGGCCTGGAGATGATTCTGCTAGGTGGAACAGGATGTTTTAGTTCAATGCCTCCTCTCCCACAGATGTGATCACTGACTTGGACTTCTCTCCCTTTGATGACTTCCTCCTGGCCACCAGTTCCACTGACAGGATGGTGAGTGGAGCCAGCTGGAGAAGGGCTCATGTCTCCATACTAGTATGGGGCCTTCTGTGCCTGTCAAGCCCCATCCCTGTCCCTGCTCTTTTCCCCTCCTTCAGACCCATGGACTCCAAGTGCTAAGATGCTGATTTGACCTTACATTACATTACTGCCCAAGAAAGCTAGATGGGGTGATCTGGGAGGCTGGAGGGGCTGGCCTGGGCAGAGCCCCTATTCCCGCTCACATGTCTTCCCTGCCATCCTCTGATCACATCTCAGGATCTTTTAGCTGGGTTCCCTCCTTCCCTTCAATGATACCAGATACACAGCTGTAGTTCCAGGACCAAACAGTTGAACCAGGTGAGGTGTTCCTGCCAGGCCAGAAGCTGTCACCTTGTGGATCAGCCTTGTACCAGCTAAGGACCTCGTTGAGGCAAGGGAGGCCTAACATAGGCTGGCTAAAGGCAGCAAGGCCTCCCAGTCCTGGGCTAAAATCTTAATCCTTTCCACAGGTAAAGCTCTGGCGACTGCCAGACCCTGGCCAGGATTTGCCCTCGGGGCCTGGATTGGTACTGGGTCCTGAGGAGCTGCCAGTGGAAGTACTGCAGTTCCACACCACTGTGGATGGCATTCTGGTGACTGCAGCAGGCAGGGCTGTGAAGGTGTGGGATGCGGCCAAGCAGCAGCCCCTGACAGGTAAGGCCACCCTCGCTCCCATTCCTGGAGCAGCCTCCATCTGCACAATCCTCCCATTCCTTAGTGGTATTTTTAGTAACATGAATTTAAAAGTATGTGCTAAGGCTGGGGTTGTAGCTCAGTGTTACAGCGCTTGCCTAGCATATATGCATGGCCATACATGGCCTGTAAACCTAGCTACTCAAGAGGCTGAAGCAGGAGGATCACAGGTTCAAGGCCAGCCTAGACAATTTAGTGAGACTGTGCCTCAAAATAAAAAAACTAAGGAAAAGACCAGATGTGGTGGTGCATTCCTGCAATCCTAGCACTTGGTAGGTTGAGGCAGGAAAATCACTGAGAGTTTGAGGCCAACCTGGACTACATAATGAGTTTGAGGCTATCCTGGACTATATGGTGAGACCTTATCTTAAAAAAAAATTTGAAAGAAAGGCTAGTGGGGATGTAGCTCAGTGTGAGGTTGGCCCTAAGTTCTACCCCCAAGGCTGCAAAAAATAAAAAGAAAAATTTTTTAAAAAGAATGTATCAGCCAGGCATGATGGCACAGGCCTGTAATCCTAGCACTTTGGAGGCTGAGACAGGAGAATTGTGGCAAGTTCCAGACCAGCCTGGGTTACAAACTAAACTCCAGGCCAGCCTAAACTCCATAGCGAGACTGTATCTCAAAAGACCAAAAAATAAATAAATGTTAAGAATGTATCAAAGTTCAACAAATACACACTGTCAATTGTATAAATATACCATCCCTCTGATTCCCCTTCGGTATCTCTCAGGTATTTTTTCTTTTTTTTTCCATTTTGTGAATAACTTCCTTCCACTATTACTTTGTTTCTTTTCTCTTTTCTTTTCTTTCTTTCTCCTTTTCTTTTTCTTTTTTTGTCTTTTTGAGACAGGATCTCATGATGTAGTCCAGGCTGGCCCTGAACTTCAGACCTCCTCCACACATCTGTTTGCAGTCCCCATGATAAAGACTGGCTCAGGAGTTTACAGAACGTGACCAAAGCCATGGTGTATATGGCAAGGTTGGGATTTGTCCCATGGTAGTAACCTTTTGGTGTAATGGTTATCTATTAATTTGGAACAAATTACTCCAAAATATAGGGACATCTCATAGTGCCTGAGGGTCAGGGATGTGGAGGGTGGCCAAGCTGGGGGTTCTCCCTCGGTGCTCTTACCAGGCTGCCATCATGTGAAGGCTTGGCTGCAGCTGGAGATTCACTTAAAGATGCTGGCTGTGGCATCAGACAGCGAGAAAGTGAGAGAATACACAGAAGGAGGAAGCACACCATTGCTTTCACCAGATAATCTTTTTTTTTTTTAAATCGGTACCAGGGATCAAACTCGAAACTGCGTGCTTGCCAGGCAGGTGCTTATGCCGCTGAGCTAAATCCCCAGCCCCTTCCTCATCACTTTTTAAAAATTGTTTTGTTTGTTTGAGAGTCTCACTATGTCATATAGGCTGGCCTTGAACTCTAAAAGTTATTTTGAGACATGGTCTTACTAAGTTGCCCAAGCTGGCCTTGAAATTGTGATCCTCTTGCCTCAGCCTTCTAAGTGGCTGGGATTAGAGGCATGTGCCACTATGTTTCAATTTCACCTTTTCAGAAGGATACCAGTCATATTGGATTACAAAGAACTTTTTTTTTTTTTTGAAGTTAGAGATTGAACCCAGGGCCTCGTATATTCTAAGCGTGCACTGTGCCACTAGGCTGCACCTCCAAAACCCAGAGAAACAATTTCCAAATAAGGTCACATTCACAGACCTAGAAGTTAGAACTTAAACATCTTTTAGGGGGACATAATTCAACATAGGACAGGAAGACTTTCAGGGAACACATGGACTTTCTTCAGAACACCAGCACGAGAGATTGAGAAGCAGAGATGACAGAAGCAGAGAGCCAGGGTGGAATGGCAAATGAGTGAACATGAGCCTGGGTTTGGGACCGAGGGCCAAAGAAGAGGGAGTCTTGAAAGGCTGTGTTGACATCTGGCCTGACAAGTTCAGGGTTGAAGGTCAAAGCCTGGGGGTACAGGCTGCTGCATCTGATGCCTCTTGGCTGAGAGGAACCCTTGGGGCTGCCTTTGCTCTGGGAGTTACCTGAGGCCTGACCTTCACTTCCCTGGTGCCCTCATCACCTGGGGCCTGACCTTGGCTGTTTCCCCACAGAGCTGGCAGCCCATGGAGACCTAGTGCAGAGTGCTGTCTGGAGCCGGGACGGAGCCCTTGTGGGTACTGCATGCAAGGTAAGTAGGTAGTGAGAGGCTATCAAGCTCTGCCTGGGTCCAGCCCAGGCCCTGTGTCTGGTTCTGTATCTTTATAGTGCCAGAGAGTACTGAGGTCAGGATGGGCATCTGTCAACTCTGCACCTAGCTGGGGCTCTATTAGATGGGGCCCTGAAGAGAGCCTCTACACTGCCTCTTGCTGTTCTCTGGTCTGCCATTTGACTCCATCCCCATCTTCAGTCAGCCTCAACCCAAGTGTCTAGTTTGTCTAAACAGCCTTACTCCCACTAAGCCTCAATTCTTCAGTGTCCTTATACAGGGCATTGGGCCTGCTGTGTGTTAGTAGGGCAGCTGACTTGGATCAGGGATGATACTAAGGAGAAGACTCTTGTTACTTTTGTTTTTTTGTTTTTTTCTTTTTTATCGGTACCGGGGATCGAACTCACGACTGCCTGCTTGGAAGGTAGGCGCTTATGCCGCTGAGCTAAATACCCAGCCCCAAGACTCTTGTTACTTGTGACAAGCCTGAGATTAGACATGGCACAGACAGGAACTATGAAACAGAGTTCTGGGGCTGGGGATTTAGCTCAGTGGCATAAGCACCTGCCTTGCAAGCAGGCAGTTGTGAGTTCGATCCCTGGTACCGATAAAAAGGCCAAAAAAAAAAAAAAAAAAAAAAAGTAACAGAGCTCTGAAAAAAGAGTTGATCCTGGGGATGAGAAGGTCAGAGCAAGCCTGCTGGGTGGAGGAAGCTGCTGATGCAGATACCTGGCTGTCCACCTGGAGAGACTAGTGCTAAGGCCTCACATGTAAAGGTTGTGGTTTTTGCCAGAGAGGGCAAGTGGTGACATGAGGTAAACAGATTTGCACTTGGGATACTCCTATAGCTGCCTTGTGGACAGAGCATGGCAGGGGTGGGTAGTGTGTAAAATTAGATGTGGGCTGGGCATTGTGGCTCATGCCTGTAAATCCCAGCATTCAGGGAGGCTGAGGTCAGAGGATTATAAATTGGGCAGGTACCGAGCCTGGGCAACTTAAAGAGTTGAGAGTTAGCAAGACCGTGTCTTAAAATATTTTTTTAAAGGACTGGGGATGTAGGTTAGTTCAGTCCCCAGTACCCTCCCCAAGAACAACTTTGTGAGGAATGGGAAGAGGTTCTCTTTAGTTAGAGGGTATTGAGACACAGTTAGGAGTGAGAGTGGGAGACCCTTGGGAGGAGCAACCTAAACCCTTATTGATGGATTGGGTGTGGAGGAGTGGGTGCTTGGGACTGGTCCTTGGCTCCAGTACCAGCCTCATGGTGAGACACATGTGTGGAGTAGGTCCTGGGACTGTGGAGGGGGTGGGGTACACCTGGTGTGAATGTTTCAGGCAGGGCTGCTCCCCAGGGAATTGTAGGTGTGTTGATCTGGGGTACATCCCAGTGGAGGTATCACCTGGATTTGTGGAAGGTGGAAAAGTAGGTATGGTTTGTACTCAAGGAGGAAAGATCATAGTCTCCAAGGAAAAGGTATGAAATACATAGCTATGACAAGGTTAGGATGTGGAACCTAGGGTGGGTTCAGAGCAGAATTGGGTGATAAAGGGGTATACTGGGGACATGAATTACCTTCAGGACCATTATCGTACTGTGCTGAGCCTGAGGACGCTAGTGTAGAATGGTTGAGAGGTGAGGAAGTACAACTGGAGAGGGGAGGAGGAAGGAAGCAGGTTGGCAGGGAAGGGAAAAATGGGGCTCTTCTGAAGCAGGGAGGCGGCAACCAGCTGCGGACACCCTTAGGCATGTGCTTTACATACTCAGAAGGGTCCAATTCCAGTGTTCTTTTTTCTCCCTTTCTGTAAGGCATGTTTTACAGTATTTATCAAGGTAGTTTTTTTTTTTGCAGGGAGGAGGGTTGGTTTTGATACAGACTTTTTGAGGGAGAGTTAGCTGTGTAGTCCAGGCTGGCTTTGATCCCACCATGTAGCCCAGGATTGCCTGAAACTTGCAGGGATCCTCCTGCCTCAGCTTCCTGACTGCTGGCATTACAGGCATGTGTCACCCAGCCTGGCAATTTTTTCCCAATATTATTCATTAAGCAGAAGGTTCCATGTACTAACCTGAACTCTGGGAGTTAAGAAGTAATAAACTGGAACTTATGTGAAGATGGTGGAGTGGTAAAGAGCAGAGATAGTCTCTGAGATCTGGTTTCCAGATGCTGAAATATAGCAAAGTGAGGAAGAGAAGGAGGAGGGAAGTGGGTCCTCATGACCCAGTAAGAATCTGGGGCAAAAAATAAGCCCATGGCAATCACATGTGGTGGTGCACACCTGTAATCCCAGCACTCACGAGGCTGAGGCAAGAAGATCATTGTGAGTTTGAGAGCAACCCTGGCTACACATGAAGTTCAAGGCCAGCCTGAACTGCATGGTGAGATCCTGTCTCAAAACAAATAAACAAAACAAAACAAAAAAACAAGCCCATGGGGAAAGCAAAGACAGAGACTTCAATGAAGAAGGAAGAAGTGGCAAGCTGTGCTTTCTCCCTGAGCACCCCCACATTGAGTGGGAGGGGCCACTTGAACCTGAAGACCCACAGTAACTAATGCACCAGTGGAAGAAGCAGTGGATACAGTGGATTGTAATGGCTGGTGAGTCACTAGGTTCACACTTCCCCCAGGAGAGAGCAGTTGGCCATTTGCCATCTTGCAGAGGAACCAACTGAGCTCAGAACTCAGAGCAGCTGGTTCCTTCTAGTGGCTTCATTTCAGAGTGAGAGGGAACTGAGTTTAAGTCAGCAGGAAATCAAGGAGCTGAGTTCAAGCTGGCAAGGGGCACGTGAGTGTTGTAGGCTGAACAGATTGGATTTCAGCCTCACAACCAGCAACCAGCCAGAACTTCAGTGGGACTAAAGTTGAAGCCTTGCCGGCATTATCCACTACTCTGCTGTAAATCTACAGCTGGCTTGCTAGGTTATCAACGTGGATCTGGACTGTGTCTGCCACTTTGTCTACCAGTGATATCTGAGACACTCCCTGAAGTGAACATTTTTTTCTGTTTTTTGTCTTTCTTGATTTTCTTTTCTTTTTCTTTCTTTCTTTCTTTCTTTTTTTTTTTTTTTTTTGATTGTTTTTGTTTTTACAGGGATGTGAACATTATTTCTAGTTTTTTTTTTGAAGTACTGGGTATTGAACTCAGGACCTTGCATGTCACAGGCGGGCATTTATGCCACTGAACTATATCCCTGGCTCTAGGGTTTTTGTTGTTGTTGTTTTGTTCTATTCTTGTTTTTAATTTTTCCTTTTCTTGTTCCCTTCTGTTTTTCAGTAGTTTCCCAAAGTTTGGGTAGTCTTCCTTTGTCCTCCAGCCTTGCTTCTAATCTCTTCCTGTTCTTCTATTTCTCTATTTTTTCCCCAACCTCTTTTAAATTTTCTCACGAGGATAAAAATCACCATACTGAGGGGATATGTGCTGCATACAGTTACCTTGTTTGTTTTAGATTTTGTTATATAGCCATAATTCTAATTCAAATGGTGAAAAGTGGCAAATTAATACCGTGGTTTGTCATTTTCTAGCCTGTATTTGAGGCAGTTGTTATTACTGAGTGTGCTACTTTAGCTAAGGTAACATAATTGTTCTAATCAGTTCTTCCTGGTATATCAACACTGAAATTGCCTCAGAAGAAGTAGGCTCTTTTTTTTTTTTTTTTTTGTCTTTTTCGTTTTTATCGGTACCAGGGATTGAACTCACGACTGCCTGCTTGCAAGGCAGAAGTAGGCTCTTTCAAAAGACTAAAAACCCAAAAGCCAGCTATACCTAAAAGACATCTGTGAGAAGTAGTCATTTCCTAAGGGTTCTAAGAACTAAGGCTACTTGCCATTAGCAGTTTATAAGCACCAACCCAGGAATTAAACTAAAAAAAAAGAAACAAACAAACAAAAAAGAAAATGGGAAGACACTTAAGCAAGGTGCAACCTCAGACTTCCAGCTCACCAAAGGTAAACCCACGGGGTAATGAAGTAAAACAATTCGAAAGCCATTCACCTGTACTCTCTGAAGTGGTAACAGTGGAAGTAACATGACAGATGAATGAAGGTCTAGGAAAAAAATCAAACCAGAAGTAATTTCTCAGTTGACTACAGAGATGTTGGATGGTGACCATAATGAAAGACATGCATAATGACTTTTAGAGCCGATTCAGGAAAAAAAAAAAAAAAAAAAACCTCTTAGGAAAATAGTGGAAATCATGAATGCCTAACTTTGGAAAGAAATGGAATCTGTGAAACAGATTCAAACAAATATCCAGGAGGTTAAAAATTCAGTTGAATATTTATACAGCAGAATGGACTAATATGAGGCCAGAATATCGGATACAAAAGACAGGATTGCAGAAAAGATAGGATCCTGAAAAGGCAGAATATTTTGTAGTTCTTTTTGGTTTTTGAGGTAGGGTCTTGCTGAACAGTCTAGAATGGCCTTGAGCTCATGATTAGCTCAGGCTGGCCTCAAACTTTAGCAATCCTCCTTCCTCAGCCTCCTGAGTGCTGGGGTTATAGTGTGCACTACCATACCCGGCAAGCTTGCTTGCTTTCTTTCTTTCTTTCTTTCTTTCTTTCTTTCTTTCTTTCCTTCTTTCTTTCTTTCTTTTTAATCTGTACTGGAGATTGAACTCATAACCGCCTGCTTGCAAGGCAGGTGCTAATGCTGCTGAGCTAAATCCCCAGCCCCTGCAAGCTTTCTTTAAAATACCAAGGGACCATGAAAAGTCATTCCAACAGCTGATATATGCTACAAAGAAGAATAACATAAGATTGATTGGAATCAGTGAAAAAGCAAGAGATAGTGCAAACTTCATAAAATAAACCTGTTCATAGAAGTAATGACAGAAAAAAAAAAGAAGTAATGACAGAAAACCTCCTAAGTATAGAAAAAGAATCTGACAACTAAATGAGGCATATGAGCTCCAATTAACCATGATAAAAAAATTATACCAAATCATAATAGTCAAGATTATAGAAATTTATAATGAGATCAGTATATTA